GAAGCAGAGTTAGTTTTTATACCCCCACTTTTCTCTACCCGAAGGAATCTCAGAGCTGCTTACAATCGCCTTCCCTTCCTCTCCCCACAAGAGGCACCTTGTGAGTCAGGTGGGGCTGAGAGAGTTCTGAGAGAGAGAAGTGTGACTGGCCCAAGGCCACCCAGCAGGCTTCATGTGGAGGAGTGGAGAATCAAGCCCAGTTTTTCAGATTACAGTCCACCACTCTTCACCACCACACCAGGCAGGAGTCCAGTTTCTCCTTACAAAGGGACTCACAGGCATGCCCGAAAAATATTTGAGAGCATGTGTTCTTTCTTGGGCATGTTTGCAGGGATGCTCACATACTAGGCGCATGGTGCCAGGTACTGTTATTATGGTATGCTGGAGTGGGGACCCTTGTACGTTAATCTGGCATGCATCATCCTATCAGCGGCCCCAACTAAATTATAGTATTGGTGGTGGAAAGCACCATCAAGTTGCAGCTGACTTGTGGTGACCCTGGGGTTTTTAAGGCAAGAGATGGACAGAGGTGGTTTGCCATTGCCTTTCTCCACTTAGTAACACTGGATGTCCTTGGAGGTCTCCCATCCAAATACTAACCAGGGCTGACCCTGCTTAGCTTTCAAGTTTTGATGAGATTGGGCTAGCCTGGGCCATCCAAATCAGAGAGCCAGTTTGGTGTAGTGGCTAGGAGCACGGACTCTAATCTGGGAGAACCGGGTTTGATTTCCCGTGCCTCCACATGCAGCTGCTGGTGTGACCTTGGATTAGTCACAAGTTCTCTCGGAGCTGTTCTCTCAAGGGCAGTCCTCGAAAGAGCTCCCTCAGCCCCGCCTCCCTCACAGGGTGTCTGTTGTGGGGAGGGGGAAGGGAAAGGAGATTGTAAGCCGCTCTGAGACTCCTTCAGGTAGTGAAGGGCAGGGTATAAATCCAATCTCTTCTCCGCTTCTTCTTCAGTATTATGGTTGTTGCATGTAATTATAGTATTAATCAGTATGAAATATGGAGTGCATGCACTGCCCATCTCAAGCAGGAATACGGCTAGCAAGGAAAGGTCAGTGTGGCCTCAACAGGGCTGAAATACCTACTAGCAACTCACCTGGAGGTTCTGGTTTCCTTCCACTCCCCTTCCCTTGTGTGTTCAGCCATAGAGCTTGTAGGCTTGAAGACGCAGCCCAGCATGGGAATCTGTGTTTATATGCAGCACCTGTCGGCAGCATTGCCTTCAGCATTTTAATTGATATGAGCTGCTTTGAAAGGCTTTTTTTTTTGCCTGAAAAGTGGGATTACAAACATAACTAAATACCGACTGTTTGTTTGGGGGCAACTGCACAGGCTCAGCCGGCTAGAGTTAAGAGGTCCATTAAAACCCAAAGCTTCCTCGGATGCATTAGGCTCGCCTCTCTCCACTGAAGAAGATAAAGCCCCACCGTGTGAAATGTCATGCATAATTGGGTTGATTGCTGTTTTAAACTCTGCCCCTTCCCTCCCCAAGCACTTTCTCCCAGCTTTGAGGGCTGGCCGCCTCTAAAAACTCTTCTGGCCTCTCTTGCTAATTTTGGTGAATCATTCCTTTAACTGGTTTTTGGCTGCAGGCGGAGCTGGTCCGCCTCGAGCCCCTCCCAAATTAAAATTCTGCTCCTGGGCAATCCAGGAGATGCAGAATTTTGCATCCTGCACAGATTCTGCACATGTGCTCAGTTCTAATTTTGCACATGTTTTCATTTATTTTAAAAATATGATTTATTCTGCTTTTGCTGATCTTTGGGAGGTTCGAGGGAACGGAAGCCTCACCTTCATCTAGGGTTGTCAACTCCGGCCTGGGAAGTTCCTGCAGATGTGGGGGCGATGCCTATAGAGGGGGAAATTGGGGGTGGATTTCACCTAGGATCTATGGGATACCACAGAGTTTGCCCACTGAAGCTTCCATTTTCTCCAGGGGAACTGATCTCTGTCATTTGGAGAACCGTTGTCATTCTGGGAGGACTCTAGGACCCACCTGGAGGTTGGCAACCCTACCTCCAACCCCTGAAAAGTAATGAGTATTATAAGGCGGCTCATTTGGAGAGCATTACTCCATTGCTGGATAATGCCAGGCCTGGTGGTCTTTTATCCGATAAGAACGCTAAGATCTCTTGTCAAGTAGCTAGATTTTGTGCACTGGCGCTGAGGTTATGGAAACTGTATTTTAATTAGGTTTTAAATTCTAGTTTTTTAATTTTAGTACATTTTGTATTCTGTATGTTTGTAAAATCTTCTAGTATAACTGTATGTATATGGCTGGTCTAGCGACCATAGTAAAATTCTGAATCTGAACCCCAGAAAGTTCATTCAGGAACTTCTCTGACTTCCGACTGTTCAAGGGGCCATGCACTCCCAAGGCCGTCTCCACGGCCAGGATCTTGGCTTTTGCTTTGAATGAAGGCTGAAATCCTCAGAAGTGAGACTTTGTCCCAGAGCTCCCGCTGAGCTGTGGAGTCCAGTGAGCAAAAAGTCTACTTTGTGAGCTGCTGGATTTAAAGTTGTGAGCAAGCGATTTGACTGCTGCATAAATCCATTTGCTCTGGAGCCATCCATCTTGAGCGAAGACAAAGATGTGTGAGCTGGAGGCTAAAAAACCTGTGAGCTGGCTCAAACTAACTCAGCTTAGAGGGAACACTGCTTTGCAGGGCTATTTTTGGGCAGAAACGCACAGGAACGGAGTTCCGGCTGGCTCCCAAGTTGGCCACGCCCAGCAGGAACTCATTAGCATAATAGGCCACACCCAAGAGCAGAAACTCATTAGGATTGGCTACATTAGGGGAGTATGGCCTAACATGCAAAGGAGTTCCTGCTACAAAAAAGCCCTGGGTTTTGACAACAAATAAGGTAAACAGAATAACAAGCAAAAGGTGGGTGTGGCTGGATGACCACACTTCTGGTAACATGGGGGTGCGGCCTAATGTGCTAATGAGCTGTGCTGTCAGGGGTGTGGCCCAGTATGCTAATGAGTTTCTGCTGTTGGGTGTGGCCTATTATGCTAATGAGTTCCTGCTGGGCTTTTTCTACAAAAAGAGCCCTGCAGTGCTTTGTACTCAATAGCACATCCCGCGCCTTTCCCTTGCAGCCTCTACCCAGCTCTGTCTCATTCCCTTTTTCTTTTGCAGGCGTTTCGGTACAAAATGCACAGCGTGCCAGCAGGGGATCCCCCCCACGCAGGTGGTCAGGAAAGCCCAGGACTTTGTCTACCACCTGCACTGCTTTGCTTGCATCATCTGCAACCGCCAGCTGGCCACAGGTGACGAGTTCTACCTCATGGAAGATGGGCGCCTGGTCTGCAAAGAAGATTATGAAACGGCCAAGCAGAATGGTGGGTGCTAAGTGAAAAGATACCAAAGTGCAGGGTGGCCAGATCCCCCCGGCCACTCGCGGGAAATGGGAGGTTAAGGTTGCCAGATTCAGGCAGGGAAATTCCTGGAGATGCGGGGATGGAGCCTGGAGAGGGCAGGGCCCTCCGTGGGCTACAATGCCATAGAGTCCACCCTCCCTTTTCTCCGGGGGTCTAATCTCTGTAGCCTGGAGATTTACTGTGATGTCAATTGCTGGCTTCAGCCGTAAATAAAACTACAACTAAAAAACCCCCAACCCTGTAATTCCAGGCAATCCCCAAGTCTCACCTGGAGGCTGGCATCCATAGCTGAAACAGAGAGCCCTGGCTCAGCGGTGGAGAATCTGTTTTGCATGCAGAAGGTTCTAGGTTTGATCCCTGGCATCTCCAGTTAAAAAACAACAAAACAAAACAGATCAGGTGATGTGAAAGAGCTGCTGCCAGTCAGAGTAGACAATACTGACCTTGACCGACCAAGGGTCTGGTCTGGTTCAGGCTGAAGCAGACTCATGTGTTTACAGAAGGGGGGGGGGTCTAAACGCACTTTTCATGCAATCCGATTGTGCAGGTTTGTGACTCTGGTTTGCCTGTGATGAGTCCAGCATTGCCCTCAGCAGCAAAGGATGTTGTTCACTGAATGACGGGTGGCTCTCCCTTTCTGGAATGGCTGATGTAGGTCTCCGTGCGCCGGAAGGCTGATGTTGTGTTTTTGTGCACAAGTCACTTTGGGAGAGTGCATCTGCGATGCAGGGAAAACAAGTTATCTGGGAATAAGTTCCTAACTCACCATTACAGGGCCAGTTGCTCAGATGCACCACTGCAAACACCAGGCATCCCAAGAAGGGTTGTCAACTCTGGGTCAGGAGATACCTGGAGATTTTTTTTGGGGGGGGGATCCTGGGACGAGAGGGGCTTGGGGAGGGGAGGGGCCTCAGCGGGGTATAATGCCGTGGAGTCCACACCTCAGAGCTGCCATGTTCTCCAATGGAACTGATCTCTGTCACCCGGAAATGAGTTCCGATTCCGGAAGATTTCCGGGTTCCACCTGGAGGCTGGCAACTCTAATCTCAAGCAGCAAAGCCTTTTTGTCCAACCAAAGTATGAGCTAGTGCTGGTTTGGTGTGTTCCCCCTGTGCCTTGGGGTGGTTTGGGAGCAGGGAACACTGTAGAAGAAGAAGAGAAGAGATTGGATTTATACCCCGCCCTTCACTACCCAAAGGTGTCTCAGTGTGTCTTACAATCTCCTTCCCCTCCCCACAACAGATACCTTGTGAGGCAGGTGGGGCTGAGAGAGCTCTCCTGAGAACTGCTCCTGAGAGAACACCTCTGAGAGGACTTATGACTGACCCAAGGTCACATCAGCAGCTGCATGTGGGGGAGTGGGGAATCAAACCCGGTTCTCCCAGATTAGAGACAGCGCTCCTAACCCCTACACAAACTGGAGATAGATATGGAGACCTAACTATACCCCCTAGCTGGGGGCAGGCTGTCCTGTGCCAGAGCCCCCGGTTGCCTGCAACCACTGAAGCTGTGGCACGTGTTGGCCATTTTTGTTGAACAAAGACAAGCTGCTGTGCCTCCCGGCTTTAAATGTGCTCCAGACGTGAACTGTTATCTTATATTATTTTGAGCATCTTGGGTACACAGAGGTTGGCTGGGCATTGCCATGGGGATGTGGGATCAAATATTTCACCCTTCTTGTTTGAATGACAGAGCCTACACGATTCCTGACAGGACTTTGGTAGCTGTCCCAGCAACATTTCCTTCCTGTTCCTTCTACCAGAGCCCAAGCACTGGGCTTGTAAGGGTTGCCAGGTCCCCCCTGGCCATGGTGGGGGTGGGCAGGGTTGCCAGATCCAGGTTGGGAAACTCCCGGAGATGGGGGTGGGGTGGATCCTGGGGAGGGCAAGCCATGCCCACATGTCAGCTAAGGTCCAATCGAATGCAGTACATAAAGACCAATCATTTCTCTTCCCTCCAGAACTTCCTTTGTTCTGATAGGTCTATTTACAATACCTTTCTAGACTCAAGCTCATACATTCATTAC